ATATAATCTGGTTTCTTAACTTTTGCCATCATTAGAAGATTGTAAAACTAATTTCAGAATTTTTTTTTTTCTTTCCCAGAAAGATAAAAATTTCTTTAAAAAAAAAAATAATAGGTGTGGAAAGAAAAGAGAGGTAGATGTGATGAACTGAATAAGCATTAGCAAAGGTGGCAGTCATGCACAAAAAAAAAAACCTAAATGAATTTATATACCAACAATAAATTAATGTCTCAACAACAAGTTTGCTATTTAATCAAGACTTTTTATATCATGAAAGTTCATAAAACATGATTATCCCGATCAGAAGGGAAGAGAATTCTGCTATCTCCTATACCCATCTTTTTTTTTTGTAACCTTAAAACATCTTTTGACATAGCAAAACACAAAATGTGATAAACCCCCTGGAATAATTATATATCTAATAGCCTTCTAGTTTTCCTGCTGTCATTCTAATTGAGTATATATATATATATATATATTTTTCTTAAACAATATAATGAGCTGCAAAAATCAGAGAGAAAGAAGGCCCAAAACAATTTTGTGGAACAGACTCCCGTGTGGGTGCTTCCCCAATTACTACAATGTTAACCTCTTCAAGTCTAAGCTCAACCGTTACCTTTTGTACACATCCTCTTAATCTGCACTTCTTACTTCCTCCAACAACCTCATTCAGTCACCTTTCTACCTTGAGTGGCTCTTGAGTGATCAGTTAAAAAACAAATGCATTTTTTTAAAACAAAATCTCAATGTAGTGAGTGTACATGAAAAAAAACATTTAAATCAAAATAACAAATGTTGAATGGATTTATATATATGATACGGAGGGAGGAACAAAACTAGAAAGAAAAAAACAAAAAAAAAACTTCCATTCAAATGAAAGATGCCAACATTTCCTTTTCATAGATTTCTGAGAAATTTTAAAAAGTTAAAAAAAAAAAAAAAAAAAAATATTAATTCTGTCAGTTTTTTCTTTTTTTTCTTTGTAAGTGATTGGCTGAAGCACATATAAATTCTGCACTGACCATTCCATAGGATAAGAATTGGGATAGGGTTTGGCACTGGTCTCAGCAGCAACTGTGCCAGAGACAAGGTATCTGGGAGGAAGAAGAGGACAGCCTAACATCAACAACTGTAACTGGAAAAAAAAAAAAAAAAAAAATTAAAAAATAAAGCCACCTTGTGGATCATTGATTATGTAGCTCCACAGGCAGTCTCCCACCCAACCACATCTCTCTCTCTCTCTCTCCTCCTCACAGCCAAGCCTAAATGGTAGTGGCTCTCTTCTTCCAGTCACCATAAAAAAAAATTAAGTCTCGGCCAGTCAGTTGAATTTTAAGATCACCGGCTCCTTCATAGTTTCTTGTACTTTGGTTATAAAAAAAAAATATATATAACATTGTGGTCTTTTGTTTGGTACAACAAAATTTACTACGAAGATGTGTTTTATTTCCTTTTTATTTCTTCCTGGACAGCAAATTATAACACTAATATCTCAAATAGAGATCATTTCAAAATGATGATTAAATTTTCTACAAACCCTTTTTTTTTCTATCCTAATCCATTTGATTACTGATTACAGGGCACACAGTACTTAACAAAAAAAAATAGTTGAACTGAAATAAGCCAAATTGACTACAAGGGGAAATATAGAAAATATTTAGAATACTCTCTTTACAGTCACATTATTGCCAACAAATTAGTTTCCTCACATATGATTGTATGTCAAGCCTAAGGCAAGATTTTAGAAGAATTTGTTATAAAATTTACTATGCTGGTTCATCTGTAAAGTATTAAAGACTGCAATTTGCTTACAAAAAAAAATTTTAATGTCAGTCTCTTAAACTTAGTTTCAAATGATTAATGCATGCTAAATACTGATTTAATTCTCTCATAATTATTTTTGAACTCATCTTGGATCAGAATTAAAACAATAGATAGTGTCTGAAAGGCAACTTTTTTTTCCCCTTCACACAGACCTGGAGGAAGATGACAACTTGAATAAAACAGTTGACTAAATGAAATAAGCCAAATTGAGTCAGATAATGATGCAACCTCATCACAATATTTTTACAATTCCCCCTCAAGTCACAGTGAACAATCAGATCACCAGAATTAAACTATTATTACTACTTTATCTACTGTTAATTGTAATTCAACTGAATATAATTGCATATTGAATGTGAATCTAGCTCAATAATAGGTGAGGTTGTTTCATTTAAATTATTCTTTTATTTTCTTTGAATTCATTCATTGCCACTGTAATTATCTGCACTATATATGTTTATCAATTCCATTTTGTCAGCTGTTTTATCAAAGTCATTGCTTCCTCCAGGACTGTAGACCTAGTAAATGGTAGTCAAGTCCCCTCCCAAATTATTCTGAACCCACATCAATTTTTACACATTTTTTCCCACTCTTAGCTTAACGCATATTTTATTAACTTGCCTTTAGTTTTTCCCCCGACAACTAAATTACAAACCTATTTTATCAAGAGATTATATTTACCATGTCTCATACAGCAAGTCATTTCTTTAGAGAAGACGAAAAATGTCTTCAATTAAATCCAGAATTAGGCAAAACATGTTGAAATTTTGACCAGAAACAACTTTTGGTAGTTTAGCTTAGCTTTGTGTGGTATATGGAGAATAAAAAAAGTTTGTCACACAAGTGAAACTACCTTGAAAATCAGCTTCTTGTCACATGACTAAAGACCAAAACAAATTTAATTTTTCCAAATAATTATCACAAAAATACTTTCTCATATTAACTGAAATTTACCAATTTATATAAAGAGAGAAGGTCAAAATAATTATTTTAAAAATATCTTTGCTATATGCTACATGGTTTTCAATTTTTAAATTATATTTTTTTTTTTTTGCTTGTTTGCTGACCAGAAAGATTTATATTTATATTAATTTTTTTTTTTTTTTTTTTTTTTTTTTTTTTTTTTTTATTCATCACAGAATTTGATTCAGAGCTCGGTTAAAAAAAAAATTTGACCCTCAATTTTGTCAGCAGTGAATATTTTAGTCCTTATTTGGGGTAATTTTTTTTCATTCTTATCTAAAAAAAAAAAAGACATGGGTTTTTGTCATTGAGAATTGGGTAAGTTTTCACTTCATATTTTTTTCTTTTACAAACCAGATATCCATCTATGCTGACTCACCAAGTTAAAAATAAAATTAAAAAAAATTTTTGAAGGGTGTCTACAAAACAAAACAAAAAAAAAAAGTCAAGGAGTGAAATATTATTTACATCCAGGATTAAAAAAAATTGTTTTCTATATCACTGTATTTTTTTTATCTTTTTTTTTTTTTGTGTGTATGTATGTGATTGCATTAAAGGGATGGGATATTATTAAGATTTTCAATCCCACTCCCCCTTTAGTTTTATCAAATTGAAAGAAAAAAATCTTTTCTCATAGTTTTATGTATTCACATAAAATGGTAGGTTGGATGTGGGTAATGGGGTATCTTACCCCTAAATACACACTCCAAAAGTGTCTCACTGTTTCTTGTGGGTTTGAAACTCAATATTTTCTTCCTTTTTTTTTATTGTTCATTTTATTGTCATTCTTTACGTCTTGGTTTTTGAAAATTTCTTTTGTATCCAAACATCCATTTTCATTCTCGCTTTCTTACACACACAGTAAGGTAGATCCATTTTCTCTGGGATCATCTGTAGAAAGTAAGCCTCACTGAAAAGCAAGAGTTTCTTTCTTCTCCTCCTCCTGTTTGGGCAAATCTTTGCCAAGGAGTCAATCAAATATATTCCAACCTTCTATAATTGCAGTAATAAAACATTTTGGTGAAACGGTACCATCAATCACAGACTCATCATGCAAAAATTGGTACCAATCTGCCCCTGCTGATACAAAGATTACAGAAATTAGAATCACTGATGGTAGCTTCATTTTTTTTTTTTTTTTTAGTCAATTCACCCCAAACAAGGCAATGATACCACTAAGATGCAAGAGGCTACTGAGAGTGGAAGAGAAAGAGAAGACTTTAGAAGGAATCAGAAGACCAGTCCAAGACAGGAAACAAGGGTTAGACCTCTACTCCTGTTCAAAAGACCAGGGAGGACTGTGAACTGGCCTCTAAATAAGTATTTTATTAAGTTTCAAAAGATAAAGGATCCAAGATTTTCTCTTCTGAAAATCTTGCTTCCAGAATCATTCTTTCAAAATCACCAGTAATGTTGCTTAACACCGATTTTCTAGAGAAACATTTTAATTGGGTTACGATGACTAATGAAATTATTACTTTTCAATATTGTGAATGAAAATTATCACTTTCTCAATATTTTTATCTTTATCTAATTTACATGGAGATCAATATTTAAATTGTCAATAATATTTACATTTTTCAGTTATATTTTTACTTCACATTAATTCATGTCAACAAAATTGATTTTTTATTGTATTGACATCCTAACTTGATATCATGGCTATGATCATTACCTATATAATATCAGTTCAATAATCATCAGTAATTTCTGTATACAGATACCCATTGTTGATACTGTCATTATTTTTATCACTGTAGCATTTTTGCTAAGAATCCATCTAAAGATCACTTCTCTTTTATTTTCTCCATTCCTTCCTCTCCATTTTTTTAATCTTCTTGAAAGAACCAAAAACAGCTTGGCTGATTTTTTTTTTTTTTTTTGACTAGAAAGGCACACAGTCAAACAGAAACTTATTTGACCATCACTGCAATTTTTTTTTTTTTTTGCCCCCTTTCACTTTAATTTTCAGAGAGGACAATCGTTTTGATAGGTGTATTTCTTTTTTTTGAACTTTTTCTTTCGTTTTTTTCTTTAAATCAATTTCTGCATTGTCAAGCAGTCATGGAAGCTGAGCATCATCTGTTGACTAGGGTGGGATTGGGGTCAAGGTTCCAAAAATCAGCAGTTTTGAGATGAGATCTGAAGAGACCAATTTTTTTTTTTTTTTCTTTTCTTTCCTCCTTCTTCAGGCTGTCTCTTACAATACATGACTAGAAATATTCCTCATATATTTTTGGATCAATGTATGTGGGTCTGGGTATTCGAAACGATCCACCCTCATTTAGTCTTTGTAAACTGTAATGTCAGAAAAGAAAAATGCATTAATAGTAATTGTCTTGTGTTTCAAATTTAACATGACGTCTAAGTACAGATTCTTAATGGTCGAAATTTTAAGAGATTTATATAAATTTATTTTTAAGCTTAAGCAAAATATGAATGTGGTTAAATGTTACTTTAACAAAATAATAAATGTACTAATTATATATACATATATATATAAAACCAATGACAAAAAAAGTTCAACAATCTATTGTTGCCTATGAATTCGCTTGCCCACTTCGAGGAAGTTTCTCTAATAATAATATTTACACTATTTACATTGTTGTACTCATCTTTGTCATATTCATGACATTTCAACCATTGTACACTCTGGCCTTCTTCAGGAGATTGGAATTTCAAACTGAACCCTTTATTCTATCCACCAAGGTAGATTGTTCTAGTTCCTCATGCCATGCTTCTTCTGGATATCCCAGTTTCATTTCCAGTGGATAAAAAGCATGGATTGAAGTAATCCAGTGACTTGACCCAAAGAGTTGGGAGTTCAATACCTGGGCACAGCAGAGGTGAACAAAAGCTTGGAAAGTTAAGTTACTAAGAGAAATAACTGAGATATCCAGAAAAGAGGCATGGCACGTGGAACTAGAACAATCTACTCAGGTGGATGAAATAAAGGGTTCGAATTGAAAGAAGGACGGACGGAATGTACAACGGTCAAAACATCATGAATATGACAACAAAGATGAGGACAACAGTCCGAATAATGTAAATAGGTGTAACTTGTTACAATAACTCATTTCGAAAATAGAGACAAATAATAATAATAAAAATTCAAACAACACATACATTAGGCTTACAGCTTCTACATTATCTCAACATTTAACATGCCATTTATCTAATAAAAGCACATATCATCAACTAATATAATGGAAAAAACATAAGAAATTCAACAAATCCTTACCAATCATACAAAGTTGCTTTATCACAAAGTGTGAAAAATGACAAGAAATATTAGAGGGATTAAAAATAAAAAGCAAACAAATCAACATTAATAAAATAATGTAAAATTTAGAAACTGACATACTGAATGTATTTCAATAACAATCAGTCACATGAATACAATATTTGAATATGAAGAAACCAACATAGCACAAAAAAAAAACAAGTCTTTGGCTAATAATAAAACATAGGCATTGGATAATTTATATTTAAATATGTTTTTAATAATGTCTATATCTCTGAGATGAGGTATTATAACTACTTATATTATTTACATTATTCAGACTGTTATTTTTATCTTCATTGCCATATTCACAACACATAGCCCAGTGGAAAAAGGTGTTGATTAGATCCAGTGACTCGACTCAAAGAGTTCAATACCAAGCTACAGCAGTGAATCAAAAACTTGGAGAGTTTAGTTAAAAGGGAAATAACCGAGACATCTAACCTGATGGATGAAATAAAGAATTTGGTTCAAAATTCCAATCACCCGAAAAAAGCCTGAGCATACAACAGCCGAAACATTGTGAATATAGCAATGAAGACACGAAGATAACAGTCTAAATAATGTAAGTAATGTTTTTATTGCGTCAAACGGTACTTTAGTCAATACTCATATTTGAGTAGAAATTCTGTTTATTTTTAAACAGTAACTATTTTGTCTAATAATCTGCGTACTTGAGAAAACCTATGTACCACTCACCACTTTTTACAGGAGGAACTACTGTCTGATACAGCAGGCTTTTACCGTTCAGCTAAGAAGAGCTTCACAATAAAACAAGGTCATATTTTGCCTGGGTCACACAGTGATTTCTACTATGTTTTATACTGCAACAATGCTTAGTGGACCTTAGTTACAGTTTCTGGGAGAGAGCACATCATCTGGCGTGATGAATAGTTCATATTTTTCTGTTTTTGATTAGAAACATGTACAGTCAAGCAACGCCAGTGGATGTTAACATTTTTGGAGAATGCTCGTGGAGAGTTAAATATTAAGAAAAAAAAAGATTTAAATATCCAACTCATTTTCACATACTCCATGTTAGTAAATAAAGTCTGGAAAAAAAAGTATTGGGACTGTTGCTATGGTTTGGTTTGGTTTGTTTTACGGCATATCAACCTCAATGGGTCATTTAATGCCGACAACTTTTTTTCATGGTAATATTTTTGTTTAGTCAAATCTATTTCTGGTAATATTTTTTTCCTCAAAAATGTATAGCTGGTAATATTTTTAAAAAATGTATTGCTGGTAATATTTTTTTTTCTTCAAAAATTTATTTCTGTTAATAATTTTTTACAAAGTATTTCTGGTATTAAAACCTATTTTTACACTTTCATAATGCTTTTTACCTCAGTTTCAGGGTTAACTACTTGCCCATAGCTGGGACCCTAACAAGTGCTACCACTCCAGATCAGGGTGGATCTGGTAACACCAGCAATTAAGAGGTGGTTTCACGCTCCTCAGAACCTCCTGATCAGAGGCCTTGCTGTTGGACGTAGTTTCTGTTGCTATGGTAACAGAGCTAAAGTACACAGAGTGAAGCCACTTGGCACAGATTGACCTTGACCTCTGTAACACATGCTTACTTCCATTGATTATAGCAGTGCTTAGAAGGAAAGTGTGTAGAGTGTGGTCGTCTCACCACACCACAGATAACATTTTGAAAACAGTCATAACAGGTATTATATCGTGGGTCTATGACTGTGATTCCAAAAGCAAGGCTCAGACTTTGCAGTAGAAGACCCCAACCTCTCCGAGACCAAGACAATGTGAAGTTGATGGTTTTCTTCAACTACATGAGCCATTTTCATCATGAGTATGCTCCACTTAGTAAACTAGGAATACTCAGTAAGTCAGTTATGTGCCATGCATGATACATGATTGCTTAAGTGTGTATCTTTCGATACATGACTGACGAGGCAGATTTTTTCCTGCAGTAGGTTGCCATTTCTTTATGTGGTGGACCAGTTGCCATCCAAGGCTATAGAACCTGGTCTGTCCTTAGCTGAGGGGAGAAGAAGAGGATTCATGCCTTTCTCAAGGGTATTAGCATGTAAGTGAAGGTTATGGATTCAACTGGAATTTGAACTCGGCTCTCCAGTTCCTCAATCCGAGTCACCATCCATTACCCGACCATGCCTTCTCTACTCTGACGTTTTGTGGCATTTGCAGGATGCTGTTCATCGGAAAAAGACAGAATTACAAGCGTCCAGTAAGTGGCAAGTCCACCATATCAATTCAGCACAGTTTGTACAACTGTTTTTGACCAAGCAAAACCATATTCCCCAGATATCACCCCTTGTGACTTTTTCCTTTTTAAATTCCACCTGGAAAGAACAGGATTTCAAGACGCTGAGAAAATACAAGAGAATGTGACACAGCAGCTGATTGCTATCCCAAAAATAGAGTTCCAGAAATACATACATCAATGGAAATGATGTTGGATAAAGTGTGTGATTTCAGAAGAGGACTACTTTGAAGGAGATTAAATACTGAATTGATATGTGTTATAGTTTTCTTTGTATAGCAACAGTCTCGATTTTTTTTTTTTTTTTTTAATTTTTTTATCAGATCTTGTATATCATTTTTTTTTAAAAAGATGACTATAAATGCAAGAAGTGTAAATGTTTCTTTTAATTCCAGAAACAGTCCTGGGTATGATGATAAACTACACCCAGCAGCAAGGCCTCTGATCAAAAATTTAGAGTTTTTGAAGAGTGTTGAACCACCTCTTAATTGCTGTTGTTCCCAAGTCCACCCTCATCCGGCATGGTAGCACCTGTCAGGGTCCTATCTATTGGCAAATAATAGCTCCCCAAGCAAAAACAAAACACTATGAAATAAATTTTTATTGTAAAAATATCAGTAATACATTTTTATATTTAAAAAAAAAAAAAAACACTACATTTTATCTGTGGTTGCAGGTATAAAATCACATTTAAAATATTTAGATTTTGGCATTAAATAACCCATAGAGGTTTTGATATGCCACTAATCAAAATCAACCAACCAATGTTCCAGAAAAATTTGTTTCTTTTAAGTGTGAGAATTTTTGAACACAAACCTTTGTAAGAAGTGTTGATTAGAAAAGATAGGTTGTGAAATTGCTTCTATTTGTAAAATCGGTGGCAATGAGATATCGTCTTTGCTGCAATAGAAAAAAAAAAAAAATATATATATATATATATAAAATATCAAATTTATTATTAAGCATTTCATAAGAGGTAACAAACCAATACTTCCTAACCAAGGCTATCCCAAATAAATACCAAACAAAGATTCAGGTTGCGTCACTGACAGCAGGTATGTTACTTCTTTATATACCATGTCCCTTCAGGATGTAGGCAGTATTTTCCCCCAAAGCCTGTTCTAACAGCCCATTTACTTGAGCTCATTGAGTATGTTACACATTGTTTTCCTCTGTCTCTCAATCTGTCCTGTGAGTATCAGATTTTCCAAGCCCTCCTTCCTCAATACATACACCAGAAATTTTAACTGACTCTTCCTAATGTCAAGTATAACTTTGCTTTTTGTTTCCATTTTCTCTAAAATCTTGTTGTTGCTCACATATTTGGTCCCTAGTATCATCAGCATCTTTCTATTGAGAAAAATTTTAGAAAGATCTTAGAAGGGGCTGTCCAAATTGTTGTTGGCTAATTAGTCCATTATGGTATGAGCAAATCTATTCACAACAACTATAGGGGATGGTTTAGCTTAAAGATATAAAATTTATTTTTAAGCATTTCATAAGAGGCAACAAATCAATACTTCCTAACCAAGGCTATCCCAAATAAATACCAAACAAAGATTCAGCTTGTGTCACTGACAGCAGGTATGTTACTTCTTTATGTACCATGTCTCTTCAGGATGTAGGCAGTATTTTTAGTCCATTATAGAGACCTATAATGGACAACTATAAGGGATTGTTTAGCCCAGAGTTGTAACTGTGATGATGTGATTGGCATGATAGCTAATATAGAATTACTTTTATTTCTTTTTATAACTTCCCCCCTGCTTTCATTCATATCACATACCTCATTTTTTGTTAGCATTTTAGCAATAACTCTACCGTCGGTGGTTCTCGAGCCTTATATTGGTTGAACTGGAGTATTAAAAAAAATGAAGACATACATTGATATATTCATTATATATGTTGTGGAGTAAAGAGAATGCACTCCCCCGATTACTCTATAAACTCTGTAATATGTTCCATGAAAATTAAAAAAACATTTCTGTGTAAAATAATTCAAGGTTATTTTACCAAAATGTTATGAGTTTTATGAAAATTCCAGTAAAATTAACTAATTTGTTTTTGTATTTATTCATGTTTAAAAGAAATTTTACTCTTAATTTATTTCCTGACAATTTTAATGATGTTTGTAGTATGCTGCTAACATTTTTAATATTTTTATTATGCTGCTAACGAGTATAAATGACAAAAACGTTAAACAAAAAAAAAAAAAAATTATTTTGATTTTGGGATACTTTAAAATTGTGAGGTGAGGTGGTAAGGATGATTAAAGTTGTTTTCCAGAACGGTTCTAAGAAGTTAATCTAGAGCTCTACCAGTCAGATTCATTTGAAGATGTTAAAAGGAACACCGTTAAGACATCCAAAATAATGGTTCTATATTACCAAGCAGATAAAATACACTTTCTTTTTTCTTTTTTTTTTTCTTACCTGACTGTCTGGATTAGACTTCTTCGGCATTTGGAACATACAAAAGCCATGATACAGATCAAAGCAAGGATGGCACCAATTCCATATGCAAACCAACTGTGCCATTGAGGTGTTGGTACTAAAAAAAAGAAAAAAAAAAAGATATATTTCCATAATGAATTTGAAAAATTTATCGTTTTACTATATATCTTACCATACGCAATTACCGGCAACGTTATTTTGTTTAAAGGGAGATAACTCTAAAACAAAACTTAAGTTATATACCTTGAACTGATGACGTCAAGTGGAAATTTCTTTATGACAATGACAGACTATTTTAAGATGTTTTAACAGCTAGGGATAGAAAGACCAACTTCGTGGAAGAGGAGTGTATAACAATAATAATTAGAAAAGTAAAAAAAAAAAATTAATTAAAAAATAAATATTATGATATCATCAATTTCATATTAAAACATTAGTTTCAGTATTAAATTATTGTTTGTAAAAGAAATCTTTTAATCTAAGACATCTGAAACTTATTTAAACTTTTTTAACTTAGGAAAGTGAAATGTGTGCCTACAGTTGAACTGGATAAAATTTAGAGGAATGAAACAAAACTGATTTCTAAGAGGATCTGACAATTAAAACAATGTCCTGTAGTGATCTCAATATCACAAAAAATTAAAAAAAAATAATAATAATTTCCCATGATTCCCTAGTAAAAAATGAAATTTCCCTGCTGGCAAAAAATTTAGAATCCTTTTTGTCTTTTCAATAACCTCTCACTATGAGAGCATGTGAAAATGGACCTCTCTGGGAATAAAGACTAAAGGTAAGTTTTACTCAAATATTACTTCCTCATACTGAATATGACTTTTTTAATAATAGACTTATCACAACAAAACAAGTCACTCATTCACCAAGACAACACAAATATTAGAACATTTAACAACCACATTACAAGAACTTTTATCTACCGAAACAACCACACCTTCCGATAATAAATACTTATATATTTATCTGTATATTTTACTAATTGCAAAAACAAGAGTTAGTATAATAGCATCATAACAGTACTGTTTTACTCAGACAATTTATTAAAGGCTAAACATCTTGTCCATTGGAAATCTTTAAGCAGAGAAGGAAGAGAGAACAATACCATGAATGGTTGACTTGTACAAGTATTTCCTAGCATGTGATAAGAGACAAACATACTATGCTGCAGATTATTGGTACAATAATATATACTGTTGTGTCAAAAGATATGGGTTAGCAGTATGTAATGGGAACTGGTGCCACCATACCTTGAAAATATGTAATTTTCATTATTTAATAAGTAAAAATGGGGCATTTATTTCAACTATATCCACCAAAATAATATTTTAAGTAGCGTATATATTATTTATGAATTCACATGTCCCCTAAGGAACTGTGTTCCTCATCAAACTAAATTCATAAATAATTATATTGAATATACCACTACATACCTATCAAGAAGACCCACATTACATCTTTCTGACCATAGCTCAATTAGGATCCATTTAAACACTAACAGAAACCTACTATACCTCATCTGCAACATACTTGTATAAAATACAAGTACAGGTATACCTCAGCTTACACTGGTAATTTGTTCCAAGAGAAGTGACTTAAGTCAAAAAATGACTTAAGTTGAATTTACTTATTATATATATATATATATATATATATATATATATATAAAGCTGGCCACTTGTATTTGAGGATACTTATCTACTCTACTAGGGCGGCTAGACAATCACTATGGCAGCCACTCTATCAAGCACATTTGTGTTTGCTCAAAACCCACAGAGCCCACCTGTGGTTTACATTGCAACTCTGCTGAGCAGACCTTACTCAGTTCCTGAGAGAGATCATGTTATCTAGCATGATCAACAATTTGAACAAGGCCAGCACACTCAAGCCTTCAGCCATGATGACTTGTGGCTTCATGCTAGCACAGTTATCGACGACCCATAAGAGTTTCATCTACACAATTTCACTCACAAGGCTTGGGTCATCCCATGATGTGGTTTTCAGGCACTTTCCAAAGGTGCCATATGCTGGAATCGACCTTGATCCAGTCCAATAACATCAGGAAGTCTCCTTCTGAAAAATCAGCCATAGTGAGATTGAAACCCAGGTCTCATGGTCAGAAAGCAAATGTTCTAACCACTCAGCTACACACACACACACACATATATATATATATATATACACACACACACACAGAGAGTGTGTGCTGGTGGTAACAAAAATCAGTTCACTGTTTTTAATATTATTTCTTTCAAACTGACACTTATGATAATTGTATTGCCTTTCTAAATTCCTCTTTTTTTTTTTTAAAATAAATATGTTTCTTTTTATAGTGTTGATTAAATATCTTATTCTTTGATTTGCTGACAAATATTGAAATCAAAATCACCACGAAGCTGTTTATTAAAAGAAATACCTTTTTTAACACATTTTGGAATGGTTCGATCCCAGGTGCCATTTGGCAAACAAGTGACTTTCTCCGAGTCCAGCCGAATGTAATTTGGATCACACTGGAATATTGCATAATCCCCAGGGAGGTTTCCAGTGATCGTCATGTTCCCATTTTCCAAGTATCCAATAGGTGGACAAAGATTCACTGAAAAATAAAAACAAAGTTTTTAAATTTATGAAGAATAATGATTATACATTATTATTGAAAATCAAACAAACAGTTTTGTTTTGTTTTTTTAAAATCATTTTACCCCAAGTAAGTTGATAAGGACACTAAGAAGGAAGGGGTTACTGGGGTTGAAAGAAAATAAGAACCTAATCCTAAACTGGAAACAAAGGATAATTCTCTCGTCCTGTTCAGAAGACTAGAGAAGAAGAATGAATCAAGCAATAGGCAAACCTATATATTCCTATTAAAAAAAAAAAAAATTAGCAAATAAATTTTCAGAATGAAGGTGGAGATGTTAGGGTCAAATCACTGGATCCAATGCTTTTATCTACTGAGCCATGTTGATATTGGAAATATACTTCTTCTCGTGGCTCAAACCAATATGGAAGGCTACTTTGATGCATACACATGCACACAATGGAAGATATGACAGCCGGCAACTGTTGACTAAGGCCTTATCCATGCACACAGTAGAATGGATTAACCAGCAAATGCCTACTAAGCCTTTTGGCTATGAACTTACAAACACATTAGGCTGACCGTCATAAAGTCTTTTCACACTGCCCTACTTAATTACTTTATAAAACAAACTTCACTGCAAGGAAAATTGAACATTTTATTGCTATTGTATATTTCTGAAAAGAATATATAAATGTCATTTCAACTGATGTTCTGCTTCTACTTTTCCTTCAGAAAATAACCTTTTTCATTTAAAAGATATGTTGTTACTGTTGTTAAATGTTTGAAATCCTGACACTCAGATAGAAACAAAAACCTGTGTAGACGAATCCCAACAGTTTATTCAACTCTGAAAATATTGGTCAGTGTGTGATTTTGGGGGTTTCTTCAAATGTGGATTCTTTTCAAAAGAATATGAAAATGTCTACCTATTTCCTCTCAGCTGGAGCACTTATATATCTATCTGTCATCAGTTGTCCTTCTTTCTTCATGTACACATCCAAAGTGCAGCTGGATCGACCAGCTGTTTACATGTCAGGGGCAGCCACTGACGTGAGGTTCAAAGTCTGCATTTGACTTTCTAAGTCATCTTGGTTTCTCTGATACTCTGGTTTAACACTGAGTGCAATGTCTATTCTGGGGTCCTTTAGAATAAGCCTGGTGCATAATACAGTTCTCACAGATAAACTCCTCTTAGTAAAAAGGTTCTTTACTAACATTAAATTCAATTCAGACCATCTGCTATTCACCAATATGAGTCACATTCTACAACTATAACAATCAAGATGAAGATATTTGTCCAAAGAGATTACTCTATAAATACAAGAATAACATTTTATGATGATTTAATAACATTTTTAAAGGAAAAAAACATGATTCAAGTATTCAAAGATTTTCAGAACAGAGTCTTTCATTAGGAGTAATGAGCAGCAAACCTAATATTTTAAATATTTCTTAACCCTAGAACACTAACCATCAATTAAAGTTACACCACTACTAACCATGGGTATATCATACCCGATTTTGAAAATATCAAAAATAAATATTAAATATAAATCTTTATTTGAAATATTTTACGTGCACGCACTTCAAACTTTGTACTTTGAGTTAACATTAATAGGAATGGAAAAACATTATTTAGGTAAGAAAATCAGGTACTGAAAATTGTAATTAAAAATAGGAAAATTTGCGCTGGGTACTATATACCTATGGTTAGTGTTCTAGGGTTAAAAGTGTCTGATATTTTGTACCTACAGCAAGTCAAAGATTTTAAAAAATAATATATGAAATTAAATATGATGACATATAAGGCACACATTTTTCATTTAAAAAACTGGCTCAAAAAATTACCCTGCATCTTATATGCAAAGTTAAGGCCTCCATAAACTAATTTCATACCCCAACGCTACTGCAGACGATAAGTTTGCTGCAGTCACTCCTACATAGCCTAACTCTATAATATTATTTACTCAAACAGCATTATTTTGTTTGATATCCTCTCTGACTCTTAGTTATTTCAGCCAGGTAATATAGTAGGTCATATCTCAACTCGTTTCCATAGCTTTTCCTCAGCACATGGGCTTTTCCATTCAGTGCTGCCATCTGGGTACTTACAATGATGTCAGGTATCATCTTGCAAAGTGGAGAGATTTCGGGGTCTTCAGTGTGCCAACCTCAAAAGGGACAACTTCAGCTGATGATTGATATATTTCTCTAATTTGCCTGGTATTTTTGCCTGCTCTGCCTTCATTATTGGAGACACGGAAGAGTAATGGATATCAGCTCGGATTGAGGAATCAGAGAGCCAAGTTTGAATTCCACTCAAATACATTACATTCATCTACGTGCTAATACCCTTGAGAAAGGTATGAATCCTCCCCCCAGCTATGGGTAAATAGCAGGACAGATTCTATAGCCTTAGATGGCAACTGGTCTACCTCAAAAAGAAATGGCAACCTACTGCTGGGAAAAATCTGCTTTGTTAGTCATGTATCCAAAGATACATCATTGCCTAAGCATGTATTTTGCATGGCACATAACTGACTGCCTTTATGATGTTCTTATGGCAAGGTACTGCAACATCTGTCAAGATCCACTCATGGCTGAACAATTATCATATCAGCGTGACTGCTCTCTTGTCAGTCTTTTTTATGTTTCTATCAATTCATTGTACATAAAAGAATTAGTGGGTGTATAATAAGTGGATACAAGTATTATTACATAGTCATCTAACCGAATAATCCAGCTAAACAACATTTATAATCATGAAACAAAAAAAGGAAAAAGTCTTACCTTTTTCAATGTCCTTTTGCAAAGCATCGAATTTTGTCACAAATTTCTTTGTGGCCAAAGCAATCGATGGCTTTCCGATCAATTGGTAATCAAACTTGCATGGTAGCACATCTCCACAAAGCTCAGCTGTCCCATTTCGAAGGTTGCTTTCATCGAGTGTGTCGATAAAAACTGGTTGATATGTGTCTTCATTTTTAGGCTCAGGAATGCTTGTGAACAGTCTCTCCTCGGGTTTAACTTTCCCTGAAAGGAAAAATAAATTTGCCCTCACATTAGTCAAAACATTGGGGGTAACAACAACAAAGATGGCAACAATTGTCTGCATGTAAATAGTGTAAATAATAACAATGTTTAAGTTAGCCATTTCCTTATAAGGAAACATTCAGCATTCATTGACCAAACAGCCAGTGCTACTCAAGTAAGGCTTTTCTTCACTTCCTGACTATTGGGTTGGGATCAAAGTGTAGTATCTTTTCTCCTCATCTCTAATGATAATAGTAATATTAGCCTTTTCATTATAAGGAAATATTCAGCATTCATTGGCCAAACAGCCAGTGCTACTATCAGTTAAAATTTATAAACTCTTTCAATCAAAACAATTTTTCAGGAAAATAGTTTTCTCAAATCTACTAGCTATTATTGCTCTTTCCAGTACTGATGAGGTTTTCCTTTCCAACCTTTTGTTTGAAGCTGCATGGAAAGTCAGCGTCTTGATTATATCATTATTTTCTATTTGAGTTACATGTAAAAATTCATTTTAGTTGTTGCTGCTGTTGAAAGTTCACAAGTGATGTGGTTTTTGTTAACTGGTACAGTTTTTGTGTGTGATTCTGTAGCACCAATCAATGAGATTTTAAGAAGAGTAGTGCTCAGTGAGACCTACAGGATTCTTTCACTGGAAGCCATTTTTAGTCATTGATCTGAGAAAGCAATTGTATATAGCTGAGAGTTTAGACATTTCTGAATGTATTGTGTGCCATGCATGGCATCCATATGTCTAGATCTGGTTTTCTAGCAACTTGAGGGTGTAGCCAAAACTACACAGCCTATTCTATGTTCAATTTCCTTATCTTCTATTGTAAATTTGTTATAACTGATTGATCTATGCACAAAGATAATCAGTATTCCTTATCAAATTGTGAAATGAAAGCTGTCCTGGATGTTCCACTCTTCTAGATCTTTTTGTACTAAGGCAGGTGTTTCCCCAGGGCTCTGTTCTTAAATCTACTTTGTTCTTCATTTTTATCAATGACCTTCCTGATGACATCAGTTCTCAAATTTCTATCTATGCTGATGAAACAACCATTTACTACAGTCTCGATAGTAAGTCTGATCAGTTTGATAGGGTCAAATTGGCAGCCGATCTAAAAAATAGCCTACAGTCTGTTGTTAAGTGGGGCAAGGAATGGCATGTTAATTTTAACACCTCCAAAACAAAACTTCTCTCCGAGGGACCTCTTTGCTGCCTTCCATCAGCATTGCATATGCTAACCTCCAGGAGAGTGACTCATTGCACCTTTTCGAGTTAACATTCTCAGTTGACATGAAGTGGAATTATTATATTAGATCCATTTCTAGGCCTGCTGATAAGGGAATTGGTTCACTGTGTCATGCTAGACAATTTTTCTTGCCAGAAACTATCTTATATATTTATAAGTTTACCATTCATTCATGCTTTGAATACTGCTGCTATTTAGTAATTTTTGATAAAATGAAAAGAAAAATCAGCAATATTATTGGTCCTGACCTGGCATCTTGGCTTCAGTCATTTTCCCACTGCCATAATGTAGTTTCCCTGTGCCTTTTTTAATGAATACTTTCTTGGTAAATGTACTCTCCGCTATGGTACCTAGACTTTATGAATTTAAGCACAGAACTAGATTGGCAGCAATGTCTCATCAATTTACAGTTGAATTGGCTAAATGTAACTAAATTCTAGGCTAACAGTTTCTTCTCTTGCACTTTTTGCTTGTGGAACTCCCTTCCAACTCCATCCTTTCCAGTCAGCTTTGATTTTCAAAAATTTAAATGTAATGATAATCATTATCTACTGTCTTCTTGATTCCTCCTCTATTGTTTTTTCTCTTTAACAATATTTCTCTTTTTTTTTATTCTTTCTCACTCAGTAACTCCTTGTGTCTAAGTGGCATTACTTACTGCCTTGCATCGGGTGAAATGATTAAAAAAAGACTTTTAAGAAAAAGATTCTCTCTTGCACTTCTCATCTGTGGAATTCTCTTCCAGGTTCCCTGTCAACTATAATCTTCAAAAATTTAAATGCAACATCAATCAGCATCTGTTTTTCTGAATTATGTCCTTTTTGCCCTGTCTCTTCACAAATGTTGATTGATTGACTGATTTTTTTTTTTACAGCTTATCAACCTTTTGTAGATTATTTAAAGCTGAAACACATTTTGGCATTGTAATATTTTTTTTTTCTTTTGCAAGTAAATATATTAAAAATTTCTTGGAGATAATGATTTTCCGATACAAGTCTGACTATTTTAACTAATAGATGTGGGGGAAGGAGAGGTGGATTTATACCTTTCCCAAGGTATTTGTGTGTAAGTGAATGCAATGAACCTGACCGGAATTCAAACTCAGCTTTCAGATTTCACATTCTGAGCCCTTATCCATTACATCACTCACATATCCATGCTTACAGCATCTGGTATTCCCAAGTGATCGCCCTCTAGTTACTGACGAGGCTCAACATTACTTGCATCTTGGGTAAGCCGATAAACTACATCCGTGTCCTGGGTAAGACAATAAACTATGTCCAACAGCAAGGCCTCTGATCAGGAGGTTTTGAGGAGCATGAAACCACCTCTTAATTGCTGGTGTTCCCAGGTTCAGCCTGATCCAGAATGGTAGCACCTGTTAGGGTCCCAGTTATGGGCAAATAGTTAACCCCCAAACTGGGGTCAAAACACTATGAAGTGTAAAAATGGGTTTTATTACCAGCAATAGATTTTTGAAGAAAACAAATATTACCAGCAATAAAAATTTTGTTGGCATTTAATAACCCATTGAGGCTGATATGCCACAAAACAAACCAAACTAATCAACGTTACTTAGTTTTGTTGATCAGCTGAGAACTGGAGTTTCAACATAAAAGACTGTTTCCTCATTAATGTTTTATTTTCTTTCATCCTCAGTAACCATTTGCATCTTAGTGGCTTTATCCCCTTACTTGGAGTGAAATGATTAAAGAATTTTTTTTTAAAATTAAAAAAAAAACAAGAACACCCACACACATATAGACAATTTTTAGTTTCTAAATTTGAGTACAATAAAAACAACATGATCCTCAAAATAAAAAAATTAAAATTTGAATATAATAAAAGAGTTTAAGCCAAGAAAATGTGCTCACAAGATTCTCCAAATTGGTAATGGATTTCTGCCATGCTGGAATTTGGAAGCAACATAATCCCTTCTCGTGATATAAAATCGTCTGATGCATTGCCATTGTAATTCCCAAGTAAACCTTCTACATTATCTGTAAATAAATAATGATGGATGAATAAACAATTTTGAACCAAGTGAAGAAGCATTTCAAAACTTGAACATAAAAAAATTAATAAAAGAGAAATAATGATAATAAATATTTTATGAGAAAGTGAGGATACTTCATTTCAGAACTGGAAAGATTTTTTTTCCTCAAATGATTTTTAATAATTGATTTAGATATCTTTTATCATTCAGAAATATTTATTATTATTATTATTACTTTTATTTCCTTTGATTTCTAGCATTTACACATTTCTTTCCGGGTCCCGCCCTGGGACCTAAGGTTAGAAATGGCATCATGACACTTTCCACTGACAAAACAAACAAAAAAAAAAAAAAATTACATAGATAAAACCCTTCGTAAAGTGTGGGCTGTACTTGTCAGAACAATTTTTTGTATCTCTTTGAGGCATGGACTTCCAGGAATCCCTTTGATTAGTCTACTGAAATCTTTTCCAACCAATTCTAAGCCTCCAAATACAACAGGGATTGTTAATGTTCCCATGTGCCACATTTTTCAGATTTCTATTTCAAGGTCCTTGTATTTTGAAAGCTTTTTGAATATCTTCAAAGATACATTGCAGTCAGCAGGGAATTCCATATCAATAAGGAGGCACTTTTTTTGTTTGTGGTCTTTAATAACAATGTCTGGGCGGTTGGCTTTGATTGTTCTGTCAGTGTGTATTGTGTAGTCCCATAGAATTGCAACAGGTCCTATCACTGTAATCTGGTGGTGGTGGTATTATTATTATTATTATGTTTTATGTATTATTATATTATAATATTAATATTATAATATTAATTATGATGTTACTATTATGATAATTATGATAGTAGTATTATATATTATTATTTATTATTATTTGAGATCGTCTCCAACAGTTTGATGTTATATTCATTATTTCTTCTTTTCAATATGCAATACACAATGAAATTGAACAGCAGTCTCCAGGTGCACCAATGCCCCCCCCCAAATCACACGACCACAAATAAAGAAAAATAATAATGTTTATATCTACATTGAAAATTGTCAGCATGCAGCAGCTTTTATTTTATGCAGGTCCAAAGGATAAAAGCTGTCCCTCAAAAGCTTTGTCTTAAAACTAATAGAGCTAAAATGCTGTACTGAGGGTAACAGTTCAAACAAGTGTAACCCAGGATGCATGACGTTTTTCATTATGTTTTCCTCAGCACATGAGGTCTCCCAAACAATGCTGCTACTTGCACACTCCCAGTGATACTCAAGTATCCCCAAGACATCTTGGAAATAGATTCTTTGGAATAGTCTCAAGTGCATTAACCACAACAGGGGCAGCTTAAGATATTGTTTGGTACATGTCTCTGATTTGCCCCACCATGTCTTGGTATCTCTGTATTTTCACCTGTCCTACTTTCACAATGTTCTTATCCCAAGGTACCTCAACATCTATTAGGATCAATTCATGGCTACACTTCTGCACAAGTGTATGTGAAGGCAATTGAGCTCCAAACGCTTGTCAGTCAAGATAATCGTATTGCACATGAGCTTCACTTGCTCATTCTCAACTACTGATATTGGTTAATACCTGTACCATGGGTCTGTGTACTTGACACCAATACTTCCCAGCATATTCAGAAGGCTGCTTTGTCATGACATCATCTGTGTTCTCTTTATGCCAGTTGAGTGCAATCACTGACAATTATTACTACTACAGGACAAGAGCAGTCACTGTTCTCTACAACTTCCTACCACATGTAGATCTTAATAACATCTGAGTTTTTTTTATATTTAAACTTTTGTGTTCTATTATAAGTTTTTTCAGCTCTCCAATTCCTCAATCCAAGCCGCTATCCATTACTCCATCGTGCCTCCTATGAGGAGAGCCGAGTTCAAATTCCAGTCGAATCCATTACATTCACTTACGTGCTAACACCCTTGGGAAAGGTGTGAATCCTCTTTCTTCTCCCTCCAGCTATGGGAAAATAGCAGGACAGAGTGGGTTCTATAGCCTTGTATGGCAACTGGTCTAGGAGAAGGAAAACTCTGAATTCAAACCTGCTCTTAGAGGAGGGTGAATGGAGTCTCTCTGAGCCTTGGTTGGCAATCCATTTAGTGTTGGTGTCACGATAAAAACACCCTTGATAGCCCTAGCAAAGCATCAAGAATTCAGCTATTTGACAAGATTATGAACTACACCAATCAAAGTATTGGTGAGTTCAATCTCGGTTGAGGCTGCAAGACGATGATGATAAGCTTTTTCTCAATGACTTCAACAAACAGTGAATTCAGAGCATTTGGTTTCAGTAGGTTCGTATTTTTATTTTTTCAAATTTTTAACTTGGAAAATCTGGCCGCTATTCAAAGAAGAAAAATCCTTACTGTGTAGGGTTTTTGATCCCATCATGAGTAAGATATTGAGAACATCAGGAGTGACTTCAATCTGCACAGAGAGTTCCACTGAAGAAAATACGACCATTATGTCAGTGGAATTTTCATTGGTCTCATTCACAGTCACACTAAGCCCTGAGGAAAAAAAAAAAAAAAAAAAACGATGGCATTAATAAATAATTAAAAAGTAACAAAATAAACATTCTGATGTACATTTCAAAATGACATTGTTTTCTAAGAATACCTTTTCACAAAAAAAAATGAAGGAAAAACAGAATGAAATGAGAATAAAAAAGCATAAAAAGCAAATAAGGGAGCTTTACACAAATATTCTAAAGCAAATAGACTGATGCACCTTCAGTGGGGGCTTCTTTGAGTTATAATAAATAATATAAAGGTTTTTGTTGTTTCTTCACTGGGAAAATATGACGTTCATTTTTCAAAGGGAAGCAACTTTTAATTCACTTGATAAAATAATCCTGATTCCAGTGTGATACCTAAACAGGCCAAGAAAGCATACATAAATCCTGATCAACTTGCAATAATGAAATCGCTGTAAACTTTAGTCATTTTAAAAATGAATATTTAACTTTTACCTTTGGAGTAATTTACATTTATACTGAAGTATGTTTAATTTATTTTCTTTGAACTTGCAATATTTAAATTTTATCATTTATTATAAAAAAAACATTTTTTTTTCCATGTGAAATTGACAAAAAATGTGACATTATTAAAAATTTTACCACAAAGTTAATTTAATATATTCCTCTGATTTTATTCCTCATAACAATGAATATATTGATTATGAAAATTCATTTTTTTAATGAATGAAAAGATAAGTTGAATTTTAATTTTACCATCCTTATAGGTATTCCTTTGTCTTGATTTGAATTACATAGCAGTTCAACATTCTTTTCTTTATTTGTTTATATTTCTGAGATGAAGTATTGTAATTATTTATATGGAAGGAAAAGTGAAAGCAACAGTCCCCTTTGGGATGAGGTTGAAATAACAGACAGACTGGAAAATATGAAAACTTAAAGAATCAGCACATATGCTAGGCCACAAAAATCTCCTAAATCAGCCAAGCATAGAAATGAATACAATATGGGAACCAGTAATACAGAGTGCTAGAGAAAAACAATAAGAACAACAAAATTGTAATATGAGCTCTGGTGAGCATGTGGAACAGTTCAAAATTTCAATCACCTGAAGAAGGCAAGAGCATACAATGGCCGAAATGTTGTGAATATGGAAATGAGAACAACAGTATGTATGAACAATGTAAATAATTCTTTTCTTTGTTTTAATTAAATTTTCCTATCTCCAAATATATTCCTTAGTTTCTGGAAGACATTTAACACCATATACGATCTAATAAAAATATTCTGACATTTTTAAGTTTTGTTTGACTTAGTGAACTCTTTATTCATCTTGATATTAAAAAGATGGTTATTAATATTTTAATGATTATTGTTGTCTTTCTGTTAACATTTTTTTTCTGAGAGAAATAAGTTTTTATTTTCTTATGAATTGTGTACCTGATGAGGAGTAAAAACTGGATTGGCCTAAACATTGTGTTGACATCATTTGTTTTTTTTGTTTTTTTTAAATCATTTCACCCCAAGCAAGACGAAAATGCCACTAGAATGCCGGGTGGTTACGATGAGTAAAAGAGAATGAGAAGGGTTCATGAAGACTGAAGAATGGCGATTGACTTTGCATTTAAATTTTTTATGCTTGTAGTTGGCAGGTAGGAAAGGAAGTTACAGAGGTGCAAGAAAAGAAACTATTAGAATAAAATTGATGATTGCTAGTTCAACAGTAAAATAGTGAGACTTAGTTGCCAATCTAGTAGCATGCTTTAGTCAAGACATTAAGAAAAACAGCTCATCATAACAATTACTATAAAAATATTTGTAGAAAAGACAGAGGCACTAAGAGGGTGTTCAGTGATCCAACCAAAATATAGGATACTTATAGCCATATCCTGTTGAAATACCGGTTCCTGGACAATCACTGAAGTTAAGCAACATCAAGCCTGGTCAGTACCTAGATGGGTAACTATTCGAGAATACCAGGTGCAGTAAACTTAGATATGCAAGTGGTGCAATGGATAATGGCTCAGAATTATTCATTCGAGAGCCAAGTTCCAATTCCCGTTGGGTTCATTATATTCACTTACGCATAAATACCATTGGGAAAGGCATGAATCCTTCTCTTCTCCCCCCAGCTATATGTTAATTAATTAGTAATACTTGTATCCCTAAATCATTATTATCTTCAAAAATATTCTTACAATCTAAAAAAATATTTCTGGCTTTAAATAACTTGCAATGGGTTGATAAGCCATAAAGAAATATTATTAATTGGAGAGCCAAGTTCCAATTCCCATTGGGTTCATTATATTCACTTGGGTATAAACACCATTGAGAAAGGCATGAATCCCTCTCTTCTATCCCCAGCTATATGTTAATTAGTAAGACTTGTATCTCTAAATCATTATTATCCCCAAAAATATTCTTATAATCTAAAAATATATTTTCTGGCTTTAAATAACCTGCAATGGGTTGATAAACCATAAAAAATGAATCAATCAAATCAAAATGTAGGATATCACTTTTTTAATATTTATAAAAACTTGTAATTTTAAATTCTTTTTTTTTCAGTAAATTATTTTTTCTTTGAAAAATTCTATATTTATAAAGTTTCTTCACGTCTACAACTCTTAGAAAAGAGGCAAGTAGAATTTGTCCCAATAATGGGTTGATGGGAAATGTGGAGAAAGGAGAAATTTAGATAAAAAAATTATCCACCTTGCATTTCTAATGTTGGAAGATGATATTCCTGGTCATCAAGTAACAATTTGTAGTGGGTTTTTGAATCCATATAAACCTTCACCACTTTTGATATGTCTTCTACTTTCATGGCAATGGCCGTAAAAATGGTAGCATTCTGTAATTGACCTGCAAAGAAAACGATAAAAAATGAAAGCAGAAAAATCTTAACATAGCTACAGTGCTCATACTTTTAAAGGCTTAAAGGTAGAGTTGGTACAAGGGTCTCTTGCTCTGGCACACCCCCACTCTATGTGTTTTATTATGTACAGTAACGGATCATATGCAATATAGGTTAAAAATTCAACTAGAAAAATTGAAAATACATACGTGTCTAAATACAAATTAGCTCATTCCAACTTAAATAAATCAACAATGTTTTGCAGCAATTTTTAACATTAAATTTTGATTTGTTTTGTTAAAAAATTTAATAATTTCATGCATTCAACATCATGGATGAAAAATAGTAAATTTTACATCGTATTTTTTGAGGCTTGGCATGAGCAAAACAAATTCACAGATGTTGACAAAAAACAAGAAATATCCCAGAATGACATCAAAATGCACAAAAAAATTTTCATCTATTTAATAGTCAGGTGTGCTTAGTTTAATTTGTAACGTATATAAATGTAGATAGAAAAAAGCAAATGTTGATAAGATAGTGAGGGTCACAAAGTACTGGCTGGGCTACTCAATCAACCCCTTCCCATCAAAACAAGATGAGGATATTAGTCAAAACTTGTAGAAGAAATATTAGAACTTTAGACAACACTAAAGAATCTAAAAGTTAGAATGTGATGAAAATCAACAAGAATTGATCTGGAATAATAAATGAAATATGAGCAATCATTCATCTCAGAAATTCAAACATGTAATTTGTATATGTAAATCAGAGATGTCATTGTATATATTCATGGATAGGTCATACCAGTAGATAGATTATGACCTTAGTTTGGGGTTGTCAAAGTGGGTATTTGTGGTTGACTTGAAGATAGGTTGCACTATAATCTGGGGAGTTACAGGGCCTTTTTTTGACGTAAATATAACTAATATTTATTAAATATTTTCAAATAATTGCCTTTATTTCAAAACTTTGCTTACATATATTAAAACATAAATGTTTTTATTCTTCATTTAGATATAGTTATTAAACTTCATCAGGACTGAAACCCCAAAACATCTTCTTCGTCATCATCACTGTCAAAGATTCTTTTTATTTTTTTTTGTTCAGTTCATTTTATTTATCACTTATGCTCAAGCCCAGGGTACCTGCCTTGACTACTAATATGCCACAGTCTAATTCAGATTCTCTATGATGTCGAGCGGATAGGTTGCACCCCTGAGTCTTATTGAAATTTTGGTGAAAAAAGTGCAACATATCCTTGAGTATATACAGTATGTGGCTAAATACTGGTTGTACCAAGAATACTTTAACCATGTGAGAATTTTGGCTTTAAAGTTCCGCACACTAAAAAAATTATATCACTTTCAACAGCAGCAAAAATAGGCAGTACCTTTAATTAGAATGGAAAGTAAAGATATAATGATGCTATTAACTTTCTACACTAAAAATAGAAAAATGTTTTAAAAAAATGAGTTTGTAAATTTCAACTGACAATGCTAAGTGTTTATGAATGTTGGAAATGGATAATTTTACCATTATTTCATTGAATAGCATTGATAAAGTCTTTCCATTCACAAATATGAGTATTAATGTAATTTGTAACAGAATATTCAATGTATTTGTTTTGGAAGCAAAAACACAAATGTGTATGTTGAAGGATAAGTTATTCAATACCCAGAAACACAGAAAATGTTTAACTTAAAAAAAAGAAAAGGAAAACTAAAACGGTAAAAGAAAGTAAAAGAAAGAATGAAAGAGAAAAAAAGAAAGAAAAAGAGAAAAGGGGAAACAAAGAAAAATAAAAGAGAAAGAAAGGGAAAAAGAAAATAAGTTATTCAATACCCAGAAACACAGAAATGTTTAACTTTAATTTAAGTAAAACCAAAACAGTAAAAGAAAGTAGAAGAAAGAATGAAAGAAAGTAAAAGAAAGAAAGAATGAAAGAAAGTAAAAAAAAGAAAAGAGAAAAAAGGAAACAAAAAGAAAGGAAAAGGAAAGAGAAAGAAAGGGAAAAAGATAATGAAAGAAAGCAAAGAAAAAGAGAAAAAAGAAAAAGAGAAAAAAAGAATAAACTTACCTTCAATGTCTCTGGCTTGTTCTGCTTTAACCTGTACAACAATTGTGTGATTTTTGTCCTCCATCAAAACAAATTCACCCACACCATTAAACGTATACCTCTTGCCATCCAATGTCACTAAATGAGGATCCCCTGCTGCCTGTGCTGAAATCACAAACAAAATGCAATCAACAATTTTTCTTTTCTTTTTCCTTAAATAGGAGACAATATTTTAAGATAAGCAAAAAGATTTTGTGTATTACTTCATCTGTCCCATAATACTTGTTACATTTGCATACATATTTCATACACAAGAGGTAACAATTAGTATGGGACAGAGGTAACATTAATAACCTCTATCCCATAATACTTGTTACTTTCACATAACACATTTCATACACTAAATGTAACAATTATTTTCCATTTTGTCATTCATTTACATGAAGATTTCAATCTAACTAAACCAGCAGAATAGGTACAATATTTAGTGACCTTTTTATTTAATTATATATGTTTCTTTTCAAGTTACTTAAAACAAACTGAGATCAGTTGTGGAGTTGCTTAAAATTCAGTCTAATTCTAGTACAGTTGCTTAGAAACAAAAAGGGTTATTTAAAAAATGTTGGGTTTATCTTGTTATACTAAACAATATTCAGAGTAATATTTTCATCTCTGTTGTTTTTTCCAACACACACATATTGTGGAATGCTAGTATGTTTGGGTAAACATTTAGTCACCATTATGTTGTGAGAATCAATGCTTTGGATAGTAAATATTTATGGACTCCTGGAAAATTTATCCCCAAAACAATGTTGTCAGACTCAATTTGGGTCCAAGTATAAAAATAAGTAACATGAAACAGTAAATATAAAACAAATGACAATGCATGTATTAACAAAGGAATTGCATGTGATGAAAAAAAAAATCTAACTAGCTATATTAAAAATATGTGTGTGTGTGAGTGAGTGAGTGAGTGAGTGAGTGAGTGAGTGAGTGAGTGAGTGAGTGAGTGAGCTGTTACAAAAGTCAAGAGAAAAAAAAACATGAAAATGAACATGCCCCACTGGGGGGCACTTTACCCATATATAAACAACATCTTAAGTGCAGAGTTGAAAAACTGTAAAAAAAAAAAAAAAAAAACTAGGGAGAGAAATGCATGCTTTTTTATTGGCTTAAGGAGCACCCCTAGTAATGTTTTTTTGGCAAAGTGGGATAAGACACACATACATTCATACTATTTTTCCCATTATTTTTCTTGATTTTGCTGGAAAGTTTAAAGTGATTCAGCATTTTTTCCCTTTTATTTCATATCAGCAAGGACATAACATTATAAACTAATTTATTCAGGCAGTTTTCTTTATCTTCACAAAGTTTCGACCACTGTGCCTTCTGGCTTTCATCAGGTGTTTGTCACATTTAGTGTCTGTGATGCTGAATTAAATACAAAGAGCCTGATGCTTATTTCTTGTTTGTAATTTTGTCTGGCTTAAAATAGGAAATGGACTATCAATTGCTGTAGAATCAATCATACAACTGCATCAACATAGTGCATCAAAGCCTTTGTTTTATTTTGATGGTTTTTTTTTTACATTATAAAATAAAATCCTTAAAAATAACTTTCCAGACTATATTTAGATTTAGCAGATTTTGGCATTAATGGACACTCATTCTGCCTTAATAGTCCATCTAATCTAGAGTGTGTTAGTGTGTGCTAAATATCCGAAAAATATGCACTGATTTGCAAAGAATGACTATTTAAGTAATTCTTAGGGTAACAAAGAGAAATTTCTATCTTAAATATCATTGTAGGGATGTTGAAGGTGATTATCTCCCCTTTGACAGGACGAATTTACAGATGTCTGAAGAGGACTTTGAGGATCATGTGAGTCTCGTTGATAAGAATAGTGTAGTTTCTGCTTGAACCACAAAAATAGATGTGGAAGCCATTGAATGAGAGCATACAATGCATCCTAAATAAGGAACATAAAACATATCACCAGTGCTGTAGAGTGTCTCATGTTCCTCTTGAATGATTTTTTCCTTTCACCATTGCTCAGTTGAGAAGTCAATGGGTTTGACACAAAACGATTTTAACCTGCTCTCTTTTTAGCTGAATAAATCAAAGGATTTTTCAGTGATTCTTGCAAAAAATGGTATCAAGATGGCTAAATGTCTTATCTGAAAACCTGGAAAAAAGAAACTCAGTTTAGTGTTTTTTTTTTTTTTTTTAGGACAATTTTTGTTGAATGGAGAATTGTTGTTACTGTTATACCTGGTGAGTGTGTGTGTGTGTGTGTTTGGGCAGGTTGTGGTCATCACTCCATAGTGGGTTGCATCAACTATCCTCAGGCCAATACACAAAAGTCACACCATCTTGATTCCACACTGAAAATCAAGAAGTCATCTTTTCACCATGTGGGGGGTTTGCTCATTATAATAAATGGCACAACATATCGTGTCTGCATTGGCAAAGTTCCCAGCAGGGAAACGTTACCAACTACTACACCCTTCTTTTTTCAGACCATCTACATTTTTTTACAGTGAGGTTTACTTTGTACAAGGCCAGAGAGCCACTCAAGATAGAGGCTTATGGAATAAGAGGCATAGCTTATGCGGATATGTGGGGGAGATAACGGTTAACCCTAGACTTAAACAGTTCAAGATTGTAGCTATCTGGAAAACTCCTCTTGGGAGTTGGTTCCACAGAGCAAAAGTTTATAGAAAGAATCTGCTCAAGTGGAACTTACTTGTTACCAAGACAAAAACTTCACTGAAGAAAACTGGACAGAGAGATTACTTTTTTTTATCTGAAAATCTTGCTTTCTTGCTCACTCCTAATTAGTCAATTCAGTGACCAATGAAAAAACTCTCATTTTATTATTATCATTCATTTTTTGTGAGACCATTAACTGGTCCCTGTCAAATATATATATTTCAGTATTATGATATATAAGAATTTTTTTGAAACTCTACATGTCATTCAATTTTGCAAACCAATCAATGAAATTTGAATGAGCTGATTTGTTTGGAAAAATACTCTGACAAAATCATTCTTTGCAGTTTAATAATTTTTTAAATTTAATTTCATTTTATAGGACTTCATGGTAACAATATTTTTTTAAGAAAATTTCTTTTTTCCTTTTTAACAGCTAAGAATAAATTCTTAGGATTTCTTACTGTTAAGCATATAATATACAACTAGTGATGTGTAAATATTTCTTTCTAGAGCCAAATTCCAATTTTTGAAGCATTTGGCCTTGTGATTCATTTATAGTTCTCACAAATGCAGGGCGAACTGGAAACTGGATTCTTGTATATAAAAATAAAATTTATGCATAAGACAATATTGAATATTTATTAAATAAATATTTGTTATTTTAATCATTAAATTGTTTTTAAAATAATGGGAATATTTTGTATGTTAAATAATAAACTTTTAATTTTTACCAAAAATTAATAAAAATTTATTGTACTAAGTTATGCAACCTAGTAAAACCAACTATACTTTGTACTCCTTTACCTGTTTGCAGTTCTCCAAAAATTTGGTTTCAATTGGTCAATGTATGGCTATTTATGAGGGCATGATGAATAGATGGATGAACATGCTAATGGAAGTCACATATGTAGGTTTCTAACAATCTGTGTGGCTGTTTATTAGGTAATGATTTTTTTCTTCTTATCCTTAACCCAAAATTATCCTTCTTTCTTGTACAATGTTACATTAGAACCCTACACTTTATTATCATTATTTTTGATGTATCACTGTCTATTTTCTTTCTGATTCTACATATAATTTTCTTTTTTGTTTGTACTTTTCTTAAAAACTTCCTCATTGCTCACATGCTCCACCCATGGTATTTTCAGCATCCTTCTGTAGAATCCACATTTCTGTTCTATCTCAAATCTTTACATATGACAATTGTCAAACAATGTGAAATATAAATGAGTCTTGCCTTACTTACCTGGTGAAGGAGGTTTGTATGCATTACATCGGGAAGCTGGACGTTTCTTAAAAAACGATTTGCATAAGTGATCCTTGCGTGAATATCTGCAGCAGTGTAAGTGAGGCAGGATATCAGCCTCAAAGTGAGTCAGATACGGCACAATGTCAGGTCCCTGAGCTCGGTAGTTATACCGAAAAACGTATCCACTGTCCATACTTGTTTCCCACTCTAGTAGACTGTTATTCTTTCCCCCATAACAACAGGACTGCCCAGCTGTAGATTTACTGGCAAATGAAGAGAGAGATAAAACACGATATAGTATTATAGCTTTAAAAACAGACATATTTTTAAAAAAATATACTTCAAATATTTGAAGATCGGTTATTATAAATTTAGTATTTGGAGAAGTAAAGAAATTGAACATAGAATAGGTTGCATTAGGTATAGTTTTGCCCAACACTGCAAGTTGTTACAAAACCTAAAAATTAACCTAAAAACTCTAGCCATGTTCTTAAATACCTCATCAGAATGAAACTTTTATATGGACGCTATGCATGGAATCAGACACATTCAGAAATATCTAAACTGTCAGCTGTATACAACCACAACAACTAAAATAATACATATAACTCAAAGAGAATAATGAAATAATCAAGATGCTGACATTCTGTACTACTTCAAACAAAACGTTAAAAAGGAATTCTAAAAAGAGCAATAACAGTTACTGGACTTGAGAAACCTATATTCCTAAAAAAAATATTTCATAGAAAGATTTTTAAAATTTCAACCAAAATTAGCACTGGCTGCTCAGTCAATGAATGCCAAATGTTTCTGTTATGATGTTGATTTGGGGTTAGTAGAGACAAACGCCAAATAACACGTAACAATAAAAAGGGTTTTAATAGGTTGGTAAAAAGGTACAGAAATCACCTGAGTAGTCAATAACTAGCTCAGCTAAGAACTTCTTTGTCTATCTGTCTTCCGACATGCCACTATTTAAAGTCTTTGTTCGCAGACAAGTTCATCTTCAAGAGGGGTGGTAGGTTTCACACAACAGTTTCCTTATCAGGAAATGGCTAATATTACCATTATATATATATATATATATATATATATATATATTGCATGCATATATATATATATATATATATATATATATATATATATCACATGCATCCTCCTTAGGTTTACCCATACGGATTACCTAGTTTTTCATAAACTATATATATATATATATATATTGCATGCATTTTGGCAGCATGTTTTCATTAAGACATGTCTCATTATATAATTTAGACAAGTTTGTCTACTAATTTTTAATAGGATCCTCTTGCAATTATGGAAGAAAGAAAATTATCCTGTTGGTGCATATTCACTTTATTCCGAGTACTTTTGATATTAACACAATGTTGTCATCAGGATCTTGTTTTTTCTAAGGCAAAATTGTTGTGTTCATTTTAAGATTAAATTTTTACAAGTGAAAAACACTAAGGTTATGCTAATGTCAAAAGTACTTGGAATAAAATGAATATGCATTAACACGGTAATTTTCTTTCTTCCTTTAAAAGGATACTAAGAAACTTGTCCATAATTACAAGAGGATCCTGTTAAAAATAAGTAGACAAAACTTGACTAAATTATTTAATGAGACATGTCTTAAAATATATATATATATATATATATATATATATATATATATATATATATATATATATATATATCGGGCACATGGCCGAGTGTTTTAGAATGTTCGTGATTCTGACCATGAGACCCATGTTCGAATCTCAACATGGTCAATTTATCAGGAAGAAAAGTGCTTGAAAACCATATCATGGGTTGACCCAAGCTTTGTGAGTGAAATTGGGTAGATGGCATGAGGTCACAAGTCATCATGGCTGGGGGCTTCAGTGTGCTGGCCTTATTCAAATTGTTGATCACATGCTCTTTCCCAGAAACTATAACTAAGGTCTGCTTGGCATAGTTGAAGTATAATTCACAGGTGGGCTCTGTGGGTATTGAATAAACACAAATGCGTCTGAGCAAGTGCCTACAAAAGGGATTGGCTAGCCACCCTCTTAGACAGATATCCTCCAATACCAGTGGCCAGCTGTACATACATATATACATACATATATATATATATAGATAATATTAGTGGTAAATATACACATACATATGCAAAATATATAAATATATACATAGGTGCATACACATACATATATATATATATATATATTACTACAACTGACCCCCAATAGAAGGCTCAAGTGACACTTAAGACAAAGGATTACTGAATGAGGTGTATAATATGAATGAAAGAGAAGGAAGTGAAGATTATGAGGATAAATAAGGAAGATGGATAATGATTGAATTGAAGAGGTTAAGATTGTAGTATTTAGGAAAGCATCCACACAGGAGTCTGTATCAGTTCTTGGGAAAAATCCAAATAGAATTCTTTACGATTGGAATACAGAGGAAATGAGGGTGATTTGACTCTGTGGATGTAGCATAGCAGGTTTTAACTGTAAATGTCTGAACTGGTGAAACTAAAAAATGCAACACATTTGCCTGGAGGAGGAATTAGCAATAGTAGTATGTTCAGACTAAAAGGAACTATTAAATGAGATGTCTGAAGTCATGTGGGGATGTAAACCCACTAAAAAGTATATCTTGGGTTTGTACAAACCAGGATGAAAGCATGTATTTCTTTTTTTCATTCCCCCTCCCATCCAATTTCTCAGAATTCTTTAATTTCTAATGGCATTCAGTTGATTAAGTGCCAAACGTGATACAATGTGGGCAATCATGTCTACTGATTCAATACTAACTAGGCAGAAGATTTTTTTTTTTTTCCTTTAATCAGTTTCACCCCATACAAGGCAGTAAAGCCACTAAGACACAAGGGGTTACCAGGTATGGAAGAATTAGAAACATTAATAATAAGCAGAAAGAGTAGTCAGGAGGACAGTAGATAGTGATTAACATTGCATTTGCTATTTCTTTCTGTGGTAGACCTGTTGCCAACCAAGGCAGTGACACCATATCTGGGGGTAGTAGAAATGGATTCATGCCTTTCCAAGATTATTTATGAATAAGTGGTTGTAATGAACCTAACTGGGAATCAAACTCAGCTCCCCGATTCTCTCATATCATCCATTACATCACACCACACATCACTTTTCAAAAAATTCTTTCCAGAGACATTAATTAAATTTAAGAATTTATTGTGTGTTATTGTCTTTTGTTGCACCAAAAAACATCGTCTCTAAAACAAATCAAAGCAGTAAGCTAGTTAAAAAAGTTAAAATAAAATATCAAATTCAGGAAAAGGTGTTCTTTTTCTCACCTTTGTAAGTTAAGTAAGACACAATTGTTTGCTTGTTGGTGACATAAGCAATTAAGAGGTTTGTCCTTTGAATCCGTGTGGCAAAGTGGATCATTTTCATACCGACTTGTATCTCGGCTGGCTTGACGCAAGATGCACGGACAATTATTTGGATCAACATCTACTTTCAGGGGTGGTTCAGCCTCCAACCATTTATTGCACCATTCTTCTGATGTTCTCTTCTCTTGATAAACTGGAAAGGCATCTGACCAAAGTGCCAGCGGACTGAAAAAAACAAATTAATTTTATTTAAAAGCAGACTCCATTAGAATTGATGAGAATTATTTCAAACCTTTGTGCTGTAGATATCAATAGAGGGAAAATAGATATTAAGGGAAGCTTTTTTGAAGTGAACTTTCTAAAATAGTAAATAATGATTTCCTTATAGTTGGTGTGCGTATTTTAATAATTTTGTAGATGCATATAAATTGATGTATAAAAATTGTTTTCATATTTATTTCTTTATAAACTGGTAACTGATAAAAATTGTGTTAGTTTTAATTTTATTAGTTTTTACAACATTGTAAATGTAAAATTATTCTAGTAAATAAATAATCTAATAGTCTTTAATATTTTTGTTGTAAATTCTCAAGAACAAAAAAAATGTAAAAATTCCCTTTTATATGGTTATGCTTTATTTAAATTCTAATGATCACTTTTTAAAACAATAAACATTGCTGAGGAGTGAAGGTAGTTACAATAATAGTGGTGTCAATGGAAAAAATATTTATACATTATTTTTACAGATCAAATGATATTTTCTGTATAGGAATACAGGTTCGATTTCTGTTGGAGAACACATATTTTCTATGAAATTTCTTGAACATTCAGTAAATTCTGATAAATGTAATTAACACTGTTTTATTGTATAAACAAAAAATATATTAAATAATTGTCAGACTTAATCCATTTTATTATCTGTGTCATGTTTCATGAGCAGATATGATCAATCGAGAAAAATCATCAAAGATTGTGTTTATAAACAGTTATTTGGACTTTGCTAACTAGACACTTCTCTGCAGCTAAATGGTATAGCACACCAGATCAAATGACGATTTTCATATAGGAATGCACGTTCAATTCCTGTTTGAGAATAGATATTTTCTATAAAATTACTTAAATATTCAGGCCGGTAAATGTAATTAAAAATGTTTAATTAAAGACAGAGCATTTGCTTAAATAAATTGTATCTATAAAAGTAACATATAAACAGACAACATATTAAATAATTGTCAGACTTAATCCATTTCATTATATACAGATCATATATATATATATATATATATATATATATATATATATATATATATATATATATGAAAAAATATAAAAAACAAGCAGAAACCCTAATATGCAATTATGCTGTTTTAATGTTAATATAATGTCAACATGGACGTTTCGGTCTAGAGAAAGACTAATAAAAAAATAACATTATTATTATTAGTCTTACTCTTATGTTCATCGTCTTTTCATGTTGAATTGAATATAGTCTAATGTTAATTATGTTTTTATGAATATGTCCTGAAGAAGGTCTACTAGACCAAAACGTCCAACGTTGACATTATATTAACATTAAAACAGCATAATTGCATATTAGGATTTTTGTTTGTTTTTCCCGTATATTTTCTTCATACTGTCGGATCTATATCCATATATTTGCTTACACACACACATATATATATATATATATATATATATATATGGGTATGAGGCTGTGTGGTTAGATCATTTGCTTTCTAATCATGAGACTCAGGTTTGAATCTCGTTACGGTTGATTTTGTCAAGAAGGAGACTTCGTTATTGGTCTGGAGAGGGATGATCCCAATGTGTGACACCTTTGGAAAGTGCCTGAAAACCATGTGTTGACCCAAACCTTGTGAGTGAAATTGGGTTGATAGAGTACTTGGGGCTGTTGATAGCTGTGCTAGCACAAAGTCATAAATCATTGAGACTGAGGGTTTGAGTGTGCTGGCATTGTTTGGATTGTTGATCATGCGTGATAACATGCTCTCTCCCAGAAACTGTAACTAAGGTCTGCTCAGCATAGTTGCAGTATAAACGACTGGTTGACTCTGTGGGTGTTGAACAAAGACAAATGTGCCTGAATGAGCGTATGCAATAGAGTGTGGCTAGTAGATGGGTATCCTCAAATACAAGTGGCCAGCTATTTTATATATATATATATATATAAGTGTGTAAATTCCTCTTTTGGGGTAATTTCACATTTTCTTATCTCTCAGTTGCGTCTCTGTCTTTGGACAGAGTGTGCTCAGGGGATTCTCTGTCAAAGGGCAAAGGGGCAACTGAGGAAAATTATACTGAAGAGGTGCCCAGCCCTGGGGAACAGCTGCCCAAGGCCGCACCCTCCCATTGCACAAGAAGGAGGGATCGGTGCTCGCACCGAGGCCAGCGCAACTGACGGCTGTGGGGGCTGAGGGGAATTTTTGTCCCTACCCGAGTGTACGTGCTTGGGTCCCCACATTAATCTGACCTTGTGTCACATCTCATTCTCATGGGGGAATGAGTAAACACTATATAAATATATATATATATATATATATATATATATATATATGCGTTATATATATAAAATATGCCTGTGTGTGTGCATATGTCTATATTACACAATGTAAGTGTGTATAGGTATGTATATATACATATATATAAAATGTGTGTATGTCTATACTGTGTGCATGTCTTCTAAACAAATGATCATAGAAGAAAGAAGAGAATATTTCTTGAAACTCACCTCATTGAGTTATGTTCAATCTCTGCCATTACTCGTACAATAGCAGTATTATAATCTAACAAAGTTTCCTTGAGTGTCAAGGTGATATTTTCTACCCCTGATTCAGTCATATTCTGCACGGAAGACCATTGGATGATATTCTGGCTGATCTGAGTTGGATAAGATTTAAGAAAACAGAAAATAAAAAATAAACATACGGAAGCTTCAAGTACAAAAATTTAGAATAAAATAATCTGTACAGATGATGGGAAATTGAAGGCTAGAAAGACTAACCATCAATGGCTGACCTGTATAGGGTACATCAGAAATACCTCCCACATATACAATTCCCAGAAATACCCCCCCACATATACAATTCCCAGAAATACCCCCCCCATATACAATTCCCAGAAATACCCCCCACATATACAATTCCCAGAAATACCCCCACATATACAATTCCCAGAAATACCCCCCCCCACATATACAATTCCCAGAAATACCCCCACATATACAATTCCCCAGAAATACCCCCACACATATACAATTCCCAGAAATACCCCCCACATATACAATTCCCAGAAATACCCCCCACAAATACAACTTCTAGAAATACCCCCCACATATACATTCTTCTAGAAATACCCCCATATAATTGTAAGACATTAGTAATAATGGTGTCATCATATAACTAATGTTTTGCCATTAAGCAGACAGATTCAAATATTTCAATTATGATTGTTTTATATAATTAAATAGAGGCTTCTTCTATGGGGTTTATACATTTATTTTGAAGATTACAGGATTTTAAGACCAATTTCAGTGAATGTGATATGTCCTGGAAAGGGATATATTTGTTTGAAGTAGCAAAGGGGTTTTGGGCTACTGTAACCGGGTAGGACAATCTAGTATGTAGCCGTAATGGACTGGTCCTCGTCGTAATGGTAGGCAATAGGCCTGGCAATAGACGTAGTCAATAGGCATAGTCCATGTACCTCCACATCAGTCTGTATTTATGACTGACACCAGCCAATCATATTACTGTGAGGGGGAACCCAGGTGTATGCATATTCATTACTCAGAATGAAATGTTCATATATTTATTTTAAAAATTACAGAATCAAGAATTTTTAAACCAATTTTAATTAAGAAAATTTTTGTACATTTATTTTAGAAATTAAAGCAGAAGTTCTCCTCCAGGGTAGGGTCAGGATTTCAGTGGGGAGGGAAAAATCTTTTACTTGTTTTTTATTTACAGAATTTTGTTTATTGTATTATAATACCCAGGGATTCTATTGAACTTTTTGTTTATTAAAGTATATTTCAGTTTATTTATTTAATAATTATTTATGAATTAAAAATTTATTTATTTAATAATTAATTATCAATTAAAACAAATTACTGTATATGTATTCAAATTTAAAAATTCATCAATATTTTCTATTGCTATTAAATTTGTAAAAATCCTCTATAAAAATAATCCATGTAAATGTTTATGTACTAATATTGAAAAGAATGAAGATTTTCATTAATACATGTATGTTATTTGGAATGCACCTTTTGAGTCAGACAATTTCGGAAAGTGGGAATGACATTCTGACTTTAAAAGGTGAAAAGGGTGCATTGGGCAAAAAAGATTGGGAACCACTATATCAGAGAATCAAAAATTTTGAGACCAATTTGAATTAATAAGACAATAAAGCCACTAAAACACAAAAGGTTACTGAATGTTAGAGAATATGAGAAAAAACTATTAAGGAGAGAGAACAATAAAACAAGAATTAAGAAAACATAAGATAACAGTTGACATTGCATTTAAATTTTTGAAGCTCAAAGTTGACTGGGAAGCAAGAAGCCAGGAGTGACTTCCACAGATGAGAAGTGCAATAAAAGAAACTGTTAGCATAGAATTTGTAGTTACATCTAGCAGCCATTTCAATTATAAAATAATGAGACCTTGCCAGCAATCTAGTACTGCGGTTAAATTCATAAAGTCTAGGTACCATAGAGGAAGGTTCATCATAATTTATTTTAGAGGTTAGTGGATTAAGGAATTTTTTAGACCAATTCAAATAAGGAAGTGTTCATACATTCTTTTTAAAGATTACAGAATCAATAATTTTCAGACTAATTCAAATTAATGAAATGTTTGTATATTTATTTTAGAGATGAGGATTTTGAATCATAAGGATTAACAAATAGAAAGTTCTATCAATGTTTTTGTTATAAAAGTTTTACGAATGAAATATTATAATTTTACAATGACATTATTCTTCAATTAATATTTGATATTGTGAAGCCAGAGGAAAAAGAAAAAATCTCTGAATTTTGCGCCTTGTACAAAAACTATTCTTTCTTAATATTTTCTTATTTTAATAAATTGACACCAATAAATATGAACAAATTACTTCCATTTGTTACTTCCTCGTTTTCTTCGTACCAAAGATAAAATTTTGCTTGGCAATGAGAGGAGAGCAACAGGGCAGTTCAGATATTCTAAGCATATAAACTGTAGGAATCCTGCCACAATCCTCTGTTGTTAAGATGTTATCAACCAAGTGATTGAATCTTTCTTGATTCTCAGATAAGGGAGATAATTCAATATGTGACTTTACTTGATTATTTATTTATCTCCCCTACCCGTGTATTTTCTTCTTCATCCACAAATTCCTGACAGTTGTCTTCAAAACCGCAGAAGCTTAAAAATCAATATTGACAATTCTGCACACTGATATTTTCCTACTCACTAGACAAATAATAACTTAACAACAATCACCAATGTATGCACATAAGTAGCATAACAGAAGAAAATTGCTTACCGTTAAACCAAGGACATCGATGTACATTTTTTCTGATGCAAGTTCACTAGCATTCCATGAGATAAAGACGTCATTTCCAATGGACCATTGGGATGGATTAGCACGGATTACCTGAGGGATGGTTTTGGCAAGATTTACTTCAAAGAAAAAAAAAAGGAAAATGGTTTGCATTCAGAAATATAGTGCCTAGTTCATAAAAATAATTTCAAATAAAGAAAAAGAACAATTCTAAATAAAAAAAAAAATCTAGTGAGAATCTTAGAACAGATTGTCTTCATCTTCTTTCATGGAAAACTGATGGAGAATTTGTCAGCTAGAATGAAATTTTGTTTGGTTTTCTTAATGTTCTTTGATTTTCATTTTAACCTTTATCACTCTGTATGTGACTTCATTTGCTGTACAAACATTTACCCTGCCACTGAAGGTGACTGATTCCTGAACAATAGTGTGTGTGAATTTTGTAGTTGTGTTGTCATATCCTGCTATGGCAACAGAAAACAACTTTGATTGAAATTAATAATAAGGATACTGCAATTGAGAGGCCTTAAGAAAGAATACAGTAGATTGAGAAGTAATATTAATAATGCAGAGTGCTTAATGTTAACTTATATTTGCTAAGCTTAGCTTAAGCTCTGTCTGACACAGTCAGAAATTTGAGTCACCTAATGAGGATTGAAATCACTCAAGTAGTAACTGTCTGTGATGTTAAGAATCGCTTGATAAGAAAGTGTCACAGGGAGAGAATATTGATTCAAATTCTTAATTGTCTGGCACAAGGTCAGAAATGGAGGAAAATAAAGTTGTTTGGCAGCAATCTTCCAAATAAGGAGAACTTGCCTACTTTGAAAATCAGCATTCAAAAATCATGACTTTTGCTTGGGATTGAAAACTGATACAGTCAGATTAGCTTAGGTTCGTTAATTAATTACATATCAACACTTGTTGGGTTATTTAATGTCAAATATATAAGTCTTATAGGACAAAAAAATTACAATATATTTATAGATGGGTAGACATAGGTCCAGTTTTCAGATTTATAGCCACATTTGCAAGTATCCTTCCAGAAAATGGTTCGTTTTTGTATGGGGATTGCTCCACTGCATTTCATGCAGTTGGGAATTATAAATAGCACAGACAGAAAGGCACAATTAGAAAAAAAAGAAAAGAAAAGAAAAAAAAAACAATTATTTCAGCCACAATGCTCATTCATTATGAGACTAGATGATAAATTATGTACCTTGAGAACTGACATGTTCTATTTCAACTGCCTACTCTTTAGTAAAAAAAAAAAAGAAAAAAAAAAGATTTATAGATTGTACATAAAAACAAAATGTCACCCCAAGTAATTCCCATCATGCCAATTTGTTTTCCCATTTCAAAACTGGTGCTGACAAAAAAAAAAAAAATTGCGACAATGAAATTTTTACAGGTTTCTTTTTTTTGTCTAAAATAGAAAACTACAGTGTGTTTGATTTAATATCTGTAAACTGTACACAGCCTTGATTGATCTTGTAGAGTGGTTTTCCTTCCCACTGCTATCTCAGTGTCCATGACTAGAGAGTTCAGTCTTTCTGCTGGGCAAAAGTTAATTAATTTGCAAAACACAAAACTAAAAAGCCTATGGCAACTTCTATATGTACCATGTCCCTTCAGTATCCACAATTTCCTGTCCTTTGTAGCTCTTAATAAATTTTGTCTTGTCATTTCTCCTAAACCTTGTTCCACCACCCATCTGTTCAAGCTCACTTAGTATGTTATGCATTGTTTTCCTCTGTCCCACCTGCCCTCAATCTGACCCATGATTATCAGATTTTCCAAGCCCCCTTTCCTCAGTATGTATCCTAGAAACTCAATTTCTCTCTTCCTGATGATAAGTATAAGCTTCCTTTTCATTCCCACTTTCTCTAAAATTTTGTCGTTGCTCACATGTTCAGTCGATGATATCCTCAGCATCTTTCTGTAGAACCACATTTCTGTTGCTTCAAGGCTGTTCTTTATCTTTGAGGAGATTGTTCAGCATTCACTGTCATATAGGAGAACAGATATTACGTAACATTTCAGTACTCTTATCTTTGTTTCTACCTAAGTTTTATATTTCTTAATACTCTGCTTAACTTATGGAAGGCATCTTTCACTATCCCAATGTGCCTTTGTATTTCAGTGTCGCACTTCCTGTCCTCTGTTAAAAGACTTCTCAGATATTTAGATTTTTGTACTTGCTCCATCACTTGACTAGAAAACTATGTCTGTACTTTTTCTTGCAAACAAGAAACAAACAAATGTTTCTCAGTTCAGTAGTTGAAGCCTAGTATGAAGTATGAAGGCTAGTATAATCCCCCTTAGTGTGGTGTAATGGTTAACAAGCTTATCTCGCTAGCACAATTACAACTGAGTAATGAGTTCGATCCACACTGGGTGCCCCATACTTTTGGCCTTGTGCCACACTAAGCTATGCTTAGAAAATCACCCTAACCACCAAACCCCACTGGCAACCCTGACATTCAAAGTAAAATCTTTTCATAACATGCATAGAATATTGCTGCCATATATGGTCTGGAGCCCCTTCTGTTTGTCTCAAGGTCCTTGATGAGATCCAGAGATGGATGTGCAATGTGATTGGCCCTGATCTGGTGTCTTGTCTACAGTCGCTCTCTCACAGATACGCTATCGCCTCCTTTTTGACAAATACTTTCACAGTAACTGCTCTGATGAGCTGCTTTCTCTGGTTCCCAGACTTCATGAATTTAAGGCTGGCATCTTGCTCTTAAAATTTCACTGTCAAAACTTAAATGTAGCCATCTCTTTTACTCCAATAGCTTCATGTCTTGCACTTCTCACCTGTGGAACTCCCTCCCCTTTTCCTGTTTCCCTGATAGTTATAATCTCCAACTATTCAAATGTAATGTCAATCAACATCCCCAGATGCCTTGATCTATCCACTATCCTTTTCCTCATCCTATCTTCTATCACTTCTATTTGCTCTTGCTCCAACTCTCTGTAACCCCTTGCATGCTAGTGGCTTCCCGCCTTGCTTGGGATGAAACACTTAAAATATATATATATATATATATATATATATATATATATATATATATATATAGTTACTTTTTCCTTTTTATTACATTTCAACATTTACATTCACTGTCTTCACCATGAACAATTGCAGAATGTTAATTACATCCAACTGGGTTTATAAACTATGAAATTTTTTTTATAAAAGATTTAAACAGAACTTTTTCTAGAATTTTTACTTCATTGCATTTTCTTACATTGTTGCTCTAATGCTAGTCCAAATTGCATTAACAATTACTTTCTTAGTAATCACTAAAACAACATGTACAATTCTGTATTTGCTTGTCACATACACACAACAACATTTTGTTAGAATCAAATTTTGTTTTAATATAATTTTTTTTTGTTTTAATCTTTTCACTCCAAGTAAGGCAATAAATTCTTACATTGCATTTTGATTTTGATACCTATAAATAAAATGTTTGTATATATTGTTTTTAATCATTTCACACCAAGCAAGGCAATAAAGCCATCGCCTCTGTCTTTTTTACAAATACCTTCATGGCAATTGCTCCGAGGAGCTGCATTCGCTTGGTTCCCAGACTTCATAAATTCAAGCACCCTACGAGGCTGGCATCCCGCTCTCACCCTTTCACCGTCAAAACTCCTAAATGTAGCCGTCTCTTCTACTCCAATAGCTTCATGTCTCGCACTTCTCGCCTGTGGAATTCCCGTCCCTATTCCAGTTTCCCTGATAGCTATAATCTCCAGCTATTCAAATGTAATGTCAGTAAACATCTCCAGTTGCCTTGATCTATCCACTATCCTTCTCCTCTATCACTCATATCTGATCTTGCTTCAAATTTTCTGTAACCCCTTGCGTCTTAGTGGCTTCTCGCCTTGCTTGGGGTGAAATGCTTAAAAAAAAAAAATAAAGACGAAGGGTTACTGAGTGTGAGTTAATATGAGAAAAAAAATTAAGGAGACAGATCAATAAGAGGACAAGAACTAAGAAAACTGAAGATAATAATTGACATTGCATTTAAGTTTTTCAAGATCAAAGTTAACTGGCAATCAAGAAAAACTAGAAGAGATTTCTATAAGTGAAAAGTTTTGATAGGAAAAACTGTTAGCATAGAACTTAGGGCTACATATAGCCATTTCAACTGTAAATTGATGAGACCTTGCCACCAATCTAGCAGCAGACTTACATTCATAAAGTCTAGTTACCAAAGAGGAAAGCTCATCAGAACAAGTACCATGAAAATATTTATAGAAAAACCACAAGGAAACCATATTACAGTGGTGGGAAAGTGATTGAAGCCGAGATGCCAGGTTAGTAAAAATAACATTGCAGATTCTTCTATTTGGTGTTTATATATTTTAATCTTTTGTGCATTTATCTGGATTCCACCCACTTCAATGTGACAAATGTTTCCAAATTCTGTATTTTTGTATCTTGGAGAATCAAGAGTTCTCATTTTATAAAATGGGAAAATAAAAATCCTAAAAGAAATAACTTTGCCATCTCATTCAAAAACTTAATTTTAAGATTTCTACTCAAACAGCCCCTCATATGAACAAACATACATAAAAGTCTTAATTCTCAACATTCTCCTTCTATGTGTCACGTCTCTTCAAAATATGGCTCTCCACAACTTCTTAGCTTTTGTTCCTCTAAGTAACTTGTGACACTTTACCATCCCTCTTTGTCCTTGTTCTGCCATCCATTCCTACAAGCCCGTTAAGTAGGTTATTCACTTTGATTGTTTGCTATAAGCCTTGAAATTCAAATTTTAATATCATATGCTTAGACTATGATAGTGACATAAAATGAATAGCACACCCATCTGCTCGGTTGGCTAGCTAAGCCCTGTTGTAATTGCTTGTTCAGGCATATTTATGTTTGTTCCACATCCACAAAGCACACCTGTGTTTTATACCTGAAATATGCTGATCAGACCTTCGTCACACTTTCTGGGAGAGAACTCATAATCTGGCATGATCAGTAGTTGAACAAAGCTAATACACATGCTTGAAACCTCAGTCATGATGACTAGTGACTTTAGACCAGCATAACCATCGACAGTTTCTGAACAGTTTTACCTACCGAATTTCACTCACA